CCAGGATGAAACCCAAACTCTTCCCGGACCTTGCTTCTCCCTCCAGCCACCACAAATCTGCTGCTTCTCTGAGGCACCACTCCTGGGACCACAGAAAGAACATGGCTGAAGAGGAGCTTGCTGACTGACTGCCCTTTCTAAGGGTCTTAGAGTCCTTTATTTCCAGTTCTGACTCTTCAGCTAGGGAACAGGAAGGGAAGGGGGAGGAGGAAGGGAAGGAGAAAGAGAAGGAGGGAAGAGGGAGAGGGGAGTGATTTGCCTTTCAACTTTGCAAAATAGCATTTGACCTTTCTTCATGCTTAAGGGAGCTTGCAGCTGGATTAGCCTATACTGTGTATGCCCTGTGGATCAGACAAATCTGGGCATGTCTGAAGAGCAGCTAGGTGGATCCACCAAAGCTCTTTGTATCTGAAGGGAAGGAAATCATCCTAAAGGAGCAGGAGAGTGGGCATGTGTACTTTGACTCCAAGATGACAGCTGTCAGTCCAGTCATAACTATATCAGGAATAGTCACCATTATGCCAAACACTGATAGTTCTCAAAGGAAAGATTTTAATTGTACATGTTATTCATGAATTTTACACACTGGTTTCTTCATGCTTCCTCTTTGTCCCAGACCATGGGGCTACCACAAGGGGGAAAAAAAAAAATCCACATCCCTAAAACCACCATAACCAACAGGAGCCTGTGGTTGTGCAGCTTTAAGAACATGTGTGGACAGGGGTTTGCTGGCCCTTTGGGGTAATGACTTCAGGTGGAACACGTTGGAACATATTGTCTCATCACAATAGGGAGGGTATGATTTCAATAACTGGGAATCTGGACCAAGAAAGGGACAGTTGTGGCTACTGCTCTGTAGGCTGGAAGACAAGTTCATACTGTGCACCAAGGATACTTAGCAAACTACATGGAGGGAATTCATGGGACAACAAAGCTTCTGAAATTCTGTGGGGGCTGAGCTCCATGTCACACTCCAGCTACCTCATGACACAAGGAAACACGATCCACAGGAAAATGGTGGAGGAAGCTATATGCAGGATACATAGGCTTTCTTGAATACTAGCTAGTAATAAATAAAAGATAAATAAAAATATTTTTCTTTCTTCCTGGGGTTGGGTCAGTTTAGCCATTTGCAAGTAGCATTAAGATCATAATGGGGTAGGTGGTTACAGTAAAGTTTTGGAGGAAGAAGATATATTTGAAGCAGAAAGGGTAAATCATTTTTCCTTTTTATAGATTTTGACATTACTGTGTCCTCATGGCTTTTTTGTCCACTAAGAATAGGAAACTAGGGCTGGAGAGATGGTTCAGTGGTTAAGAGCACTGGCGGCTCTTGCAGAGGACCCAGGTTCAATCCCCAGCACCCACATGGTAGCTAACAACCATCTGTAACTCCAGTTCCAGAGGATTTGACGCCTTCCTCTATCCTCCATGGGCACTGCATGACACGGGTGCACTTATAAACATGCAGGCAATACATTCACACACATCAAGTAAAAATAATGAATAAAATACTTTAAAAAAAGAAAATAGGAAACTAAAACTCCAAGATTCAACATACAGGCATGGTGGCTCACACCTGTAATCCTAACACTTAGGAAGGTCAGGCAGAGGGATTGCCGTGAGTTCCAGACCAGATGGGCTACAGAGTGAGTCCTAGGCCAGCTTGAACTACAGCATGTAACCCTGTCTCAACAAAACGAAGCAACAATAAAACCCCACATATTCAGTAGTTCCCCTTGTCCTTGTGTGAGGGATACATTCTAAGATGCCTAGAGGATGCATGAGGCCACAGATGACAGAAAAATCCATACGTAAATACCTATGATAAAGCTTGATTCCTATATTAGAAAGACATTGATATCACCAATAATAAAATGGAGCAATTATAATAATATACTGTAATGAAAGTTACATGAGTCTAGACTTTCTTTCAAAGAATCCTGTCATATTGTTCTTTTGGACCATGGTTGACAACCAAACTGGATGGGGAGGGAGAGTACTTTTATTGGCTGGGCCTTAGAGTGAATAAATACATATTATGAAATTATGAATTCCATTTTTTTTTTTTTTTGCTGAGAAAGGTTGCCCATTCTCCAGTGTCATTTCTCAGTTAAAACAAAAGAGTAGAGTTGAGCACATGGGCACATCTATAATCCTAGAATCCAGGAGGCTGACAAGGGAGGATTGTGCATTCAAGACCAGCCTGAGCTATATAGTGAGTTTGAGACTACTCTAGGCTATATAGAAAGACTCCGTTTCAAAAACAAAACAAAATCCACAAAGTTTGAAAAAAAAAGAGTACTTGTGTTTAGGGCTGAATAAAAGACTATCTTTTGCATCTAAGATTTTCTTTTATTCCTGGCTATTTTTATTTTTAATACTATTTTGGAAAGTTATGTTAAGATCCTCTAAGTCTGGATTATCTGTTGAAAATGCAAATACCTTGACACCAATCATGCTTATTACTTAGTAATAGTTTTATGGGTAGCTTTTGTGCTGGATAGCAAACAGTATTTGTCATTATGATATGATAGCCATAAATGTCTTATAGAAGAGATAAACTAGATTAAACATAAAGTAAATAAGGCAACTTAAAAATTAATACTATGATATAAAAGGCTTAAAATCATATACCTTAAAAGGAATTAAAATGATTCATGAATGTAAAAAGAAATCTTCTAATTTGCTTTGCAGAGCCCAAGTGACTTTGTCAAATAGAAACCAAAGGCTGCCTGCACAGGTGACTAGGCTCCATCAGTCCATCCCTGTGCTCAGGCAAGGGGCGGCTCCTGAGTCCAGAGGTATTTTGAAAATTGCTTTTGTATTTTGAAAGATCAGAACTCTCAAATTAGGTCAAATGCTACCTGGGATTCAAGAAGCCCTTGGCTTACATTTGCTGTCTTAGTGTAAAAGTCTTTTGATTTAATTAGGATTTCTATCCAAATATTGAGGTCAAGTTCAAACTTAAAACTAAAAAGGATACACTTTTGCATTTTATATGTGAAATCTCTTAGGCACAAACAGTAGTGTTTGTCCATTATATTGTGTACTAGCAGAATAAATATTTGTCAGGCAAAGACAAGAGGATTGCTGTGAGCTTGAAGCCAGCCTTGGTTACATAGGGAGTTCCAGGACAGCCTAGGCTACAGTATATAACTGTAGCTCAAAAGAAAAAAAACAAGCAAATGAATAAATAAAACTTACACATAAATATTTATCAATAGTAATGATCATGTTAAGATAAATGTTAAATAGTCCCACTTATGGTTTGAAGGTAAGATATATTTGGGTCGGTGAGATGGCTCAGTGGGCAAAGGCGCGTGCTCCCCCAGACGGATGACCTGAGTTTGGTCTCCAGGACCAACGTGGTAGGACAAGAGAACCTGTGGCATGTGCACGCATGATCTCACACACACATAAACACACATACAAAAACAATAAATATTTTTAAAAGGGAGATATATTTAAAGAGGATCATTTCTGAGAACTGCTAAGCATACACATCTACTGAAATAATGTTATTTGTTTCATTATTTTTTCACATTTTTCAGGCAGCCTTCTGTGTTTTAGTTACTCTGGTTACAAGTTATTTTGGTGTCTAAGGACAGTGATA